AGCAGTACACGACGCTTTCCTTACAACAGAGTTTATTTCTCAAAGCGAAATTCATCAACATTTCGACTTCAAGACATGAAGACTTACATATCCTCAGCAACATTCATGAATTTATTTTCTTCAATCCAACAGCTATACAGAAAATTAGCTCACATACGTATACATCACATTCATATATCATAAACATTGATAAGCACAACATAATCCCATTATGCATACATTTCATGTATCATGACTTTGCATCTTAGCTAACATTTTTCCTTTTCAGGATAAGATTAACAGCTACCATTAACAATGTTCAATCTAGGGATACAGTTCAGATATGCTCCAAACACGGATGTCATCCTGATACTCATTCAGATTCAAACTTCGGACGCAGTACGTATACGCTCCAGATACGGATGCCATTCTGATACTCATTCAGATTCATCTCTCAGATAAAGTTCAGATACGCTCCATGATACGGACACCATTCTGATACTCATTCAAAATCAATCCTCAGCTACAGTTCAGATACGCTCCATGATACGGACGCCATTCTGATACTCATTCAAAATCAATTCTTAGTTGCAGTTCAGATACGCTCCAGATACGGATGCCACCCTGATACTCATTCAGATTCAAATTTAGATACAGTTCAGATACGCTCCAGATACGGATGCCGTCCTGATACTCATTCAGATTAAAATTCAGATACAATTCAGATATGCTCCAGACACGGACTCCATTCTGAAACTCGTTCAAAGTCAACTTTCAGATACAGTTCAGATACGCTCCAGACACGGACTCCATTCTGATACTCATTCTTTTCCACTTACAAATTACAATTCAACAATCACCTTTGATGGAATCTTTAAGCCCATCTCCTAAAAATTTCTATCACCTCTCTAAATTGCATCTATAAGCCCATTCCTTCTATCATCACATCATCGAGTGCAAATTTATGGGCACTCTAGTGTCCAATCATCTTCCACCTTCGAGTCACGAATGGCAAAACTCGCCAGTCTAACTCTTCAGGTTTAAGAAGATTGAACAGGGGAAGCTATTGTACCCCAAAATTTTACCTCTCATTTATCAAGAATTTCTCACAAGATTTCTTTGACTCGAGATTGCATTAGGGTTTGACCAGCTCAAGACACCTACTAGTGCACTGATGACCAAAATTAGGGTTTGAGTTTGAACAAGGATTTTTGGACTATCAATGCTTCATATAACTTTCAATTGTCATTATGGACCCCCAAGATTACTCATGCCATGTTTCAAGACTTGAATCACATTTTTGATCAGTCAATTGGACAATTGACCTAAAAATCAACTGTATTGGGGAAAAAGTCAACCATGGCCAATTTATAGTCAAACTTCATAATTTTTTATCCACATCAACATTTTAAACCCATATGTATCATTTGATCAAGTTTGGACAACCATTCCACAAGAAATTTGATCAAATCTCCAGAAGGGCAAATGGTCAAAATTAGGGTTTTGACTGAGAGAGGGAAATTTCTGATTTTTTACCTAGCAAATGATCAAATGATTTGAATCATGATTTCAAGAGTTCAATTACATCATCTTGACCTAATGACATAGCCCAAAACATTACAAATTCATTGGATTAACAGATAAATTTTGCAGTCAACTGATCAAAAGTCAACTATACACTAAAAAGTCAAACTTTGACTTTTTTGGTGAAAATCAAGTTCCAAAGATCATAATTCATCAAAACATGTCAAAATGTTAAATTTGTTCATCAAGATATCAAGGACTTAAGATTTGGTTTTGAAAAGTCGAAAAAGTTTAACTTAGAAAATTTTCTAAGTATAGAAAATTTCTTATTTTTTCTCAACTTTGAGGCAAATTATCACCATGATAAAACATGACATGCTCATGAACTAAAATAACTTAGTGAAAGTTTTCCCTAGTTAGGCAGGTTTTTGACCTAACTTCATACCAATTTTTCACATAGTTCCAAGGGGAATCTTTTAAAGCAATTCAAATATGAGTTGTAGAGCACATTGCAAGCTTTCCAAAATGTCCAAGAACTCATTGAGATCATTCTTGAGTATGGAGAATCGAAGAGATGAAGTTTGCAATTACTCACTTTAATTTCAAGGCATTTCATGATGAACCAAAATTAAAATTCAAGCCTAGGCTGCATAATCTTTGCTTTGAATGCCTCAAACTTGTTTCTCACTCCATAATTAAATTTTACACAGCTGATAGAGCTTTAATCCAAGCATTAGAGCCTTTATCCAAACTACAATTACATTTATGGCACAAAGTTGCCACTTCCATTTTGATAAAGCACAACTTTTGCAATTTTCAACTCCTTCAGCTTTGCACTTGTTCTTTCTGCACACATAAACCCTATAAACCAAAAGCAATGTGTCTAAAACCTCTAACAACTCAGACCAGGCTTGTACAAACACTTAGGCACTTGTCTCCTCACTTTGCTTCAAAAGCATGTTATAGAGCCAAAAGGCTATAACTCAAAAACCTAGTGTGGAATTGATAAAAAAAACCTTTTCTATACTTATACACAAATGCATTGCAACCTAAGACACGAATGCTAAGGCTCAAAAACTCTCCCAAACACTCTACCACTGAAAATCTGCCATAACTTGCAGTTTTGCACCTTACATAGCAATCTCAAGAACCACTCGTGCGTTTTGAGTTTTAACCACCTAAACACTTAATATACATCATATCTAAGTGCTCCAGACCCATGTTTCCTCATTGTAACTCCTCCTTCTCCATCCACCATTTTCAAGTTTCAAGCTTGCAGGTTGACTTGAGTAGGGAGATTCAGAGACTTTCAGGACAAAGTAAGGATTGGAATACACTCAGGGAGGTCCAAGCAAGCTAAACAGATCCTCGGGCCTTCTCAAAACTAGCTTAAACTCCATTCACGAACTCAACCGAAAGAGGTAAAAAGTCAAACTTCTATCTCTTCATACAAGCATCCTTTGGTCTTGATTTGTGAAAATAAAATGTAGATATCCTTGCACTAAAGCCAACCATGTTCATAAATTTCATTTATATTCTTTGTATATAGAGAATTTTGGATTTGAAATTTCTGTAAAAATTAGGTTTCAAATTAGGGCCAGTAAAATTAGCTTAGATCTTTGACTTTTAGTTTATATGAATTATATGGTTGAAATCGTGGGAAGGAATACTATCACTTTCGTGTTTGGATTTTCCATTTTCATGGAGAAATGAGAGAGATACAGGTGGTCCGGCCATAGCTCAAGGTTGAAGATGAAGCTGCCTTCAGGAGGCGTTTTCTAATATATATTTATGCTTTTGTTTATATTAACAGATGTACAACCACCCTAGTTGTAAGGCAGCGCGATAGGTCATGGGTTCGAGCCTTAGCGCATGCCTTTTGCAATTTTTCATATTTTCTCCACTTTTTTTTTTGTTTTGCAGTGCATGGGCTTCTGATTCCTTGGGCCTTGTGTTTTTTTTGCTAACCTCCTGCCTCATATTTGCTTGCAGCACCCCTGGCTCATATTAATTTTATTTATTGGTTTTACCTTTCATTTTATTTTATTAAATATATTTTCTAAATATTAAAAATCATAAAAAATATATAAAAGATAGATTTTATTTCATTTTTCCCAATAAAAAATATTTTCTTTAGTTATATATTATCTATTTTATTAAATAACTTTGTAAATTAATTTAAATTTTATCTTTCTTCACACTCATTAAGCATATTATTTTTAACATAAAAAGACCAAAAATATCTCATGATGCCATATTTGATTTTCAAGATAAAAATATAAAAAATACTTACTTTTTCTTAAAGAAATTTATTTCCTTTTGATAAAATAGAACTAGGGTTTAATCAAAATCTTTTCTAAAAATAATTTCCTTTCCTAATTAATTTGAGTTTTATCTTGATTTATTTATTAGGTTTAGGTAAAAACTTTTTCCACATAAAAAACCAACCAAAATCTTCTTTGCATTCATACATCTTTGTATATTTAATTTATCTTGTATATTATTTATTCCAATATTTGTACATATTCAATTTGGTTGTAATAAACTAATTAGGTTTATATTATTGCAATCCCCATTTATAAATTGTATACCCCCTCCCACAAATATTATCATAGCGCGGGACATTTAAATTTTGCAATTTATCGCTTTTATATAACATGCTAGTAATTAGGGTTTGTATGGCAAGATAAAATCAACCAAATAGAAAAACCCTAATCCAAGACAAAATCAAGCATGAAAATGACATACTTGCACACAAGCACCCCTAGGGTTACTCTAATTGGTTGCCTTATACAAAAAATGGTCATATTATGCATGTAAAGTATCTTAGCAAAACAAACAAATACAAGATCATAGTCCCTCGATAACGCTATTCAAAGTTGCCTTACAAAAATGATCTTAGTCCCTCAAAAAATGCTAAGATACTTTGCAACATTGCTAATCATGGGTATACGATGACCCACACCCGTCCCGTTTACATCCAAAGATAGGGTTTCTTACCAAATCAATGGTAAGACAACAATATCAAAGGAAAAGAAAATGAACAAGAAAGACATTTAAGTAGGTAGATTACTTTTAGTTACTTGCTCCATTTCGAAACAAACATCCTTGCAATTTTCAAAACAAACACACACATTTTCAAACACTTTACAAAATTGAAAATATTTTTCAAAAGATCAAACGTCTTTGTATACATTCTTACGAACGAGAATCATTACAAAGATTGCCTAAACAAATGGCCTCTTTTACAAAATACTTTCAAAACCATACAAAGCACAATTTCAAACAAAAGCAAGTGATCTAGCAAGTAACTAAGAGCCCATGGAAAACCATGGATGAAAAGGGTGCTAATACCTTCCCTTTTCATAATCTACCCCCCGAACTCAGGAAAATTTCTCAAAGGTCTTTCCTGTGCTTTTTAACCTTTCCTTTTGGATAAAAGAAAAGTCAGTGGCGACTCTTGCTAACTGCGACATTTGCGATCAAACGCAAAACAATCAAGTTAGTTCTCCCACCGCATCACAAATAGCATGAAAGAATGCATTATTGCCATCACCGAGTTGCAGCCAGTTGATCTTTGCTTTATGTATTAGCAACTTCTCTTCCTCTACAGTAGCTTCCATTAATTTTTTAGACCAGGTTTGAACCTGTGCAGCAAACTCCTGTTTGAAAAGGTCCCCGGCCAGATTATTCTTTGCATTCTCAAGCTTACTACAACAGTTAATAATTCCAGTGTTTATCCTTCTATTCAAGTTCCTCAAAAAAGGTTGAAGCCTTTTCAACTTTCTCCACAACATATACATATGTTTGCCATTAACTCTATGCTTCCAACTATTTTCAACCACCTGTTTGAAATCACTATGCTCAACTACGTTGTTTATAAATTTGAACCTAGCTTGATGTCTGATAGCTAAAGGAGCAAACTCGGGAAGAGAAAGTATCAGAGGGGAATGGTCAGAAATGTGACATTTTAAAATCTCCAGTATGTAGTTAGGACATGTATGAAACCATTCCATATTACCAATGGCCCTGTCAATACGGGAATAGATCAGATCATTCTTATGCTTGTTGGACCAAGTGTAAAAATAACCTATAGTATCCAATTCAAACAGATTAGCAGCATTCATCAGGTTCTCCAGATCTACAATTTCAGTATGTTGAACTGGATTCCCTCCAATGTGATCCATAGTATGCAAAACATTATTATAGTCACCCACTATAATCCAGGGATCCTGAGTAGTGCAAGAAAATTGTTCAATATCCTGCCAAAGGGTTCTTCAATTATGCAACTGGTTATGAGCATAAACAATTGTCAACCACTATAGTCTTTGCCCTGTTAAGCTAGATACCTCACAATAAGAAATTGATCAGACTATTCATGCATCCTAAGCACCATATCAGCAGGGTTCCACATAATCCAAATCCTCCCATTGGGATGACTGGTATAATTGTAAAACCACGCCCACTAAGCTCCAAACATGTTTCTGATTCTTGCAGCATTTTGATGTTTGACCCTAGTTTCTAGAAAAGCAACACAAGGCACATGGAAAGATTTGAGATGGGCTTTAATATCAAGGTGCCTTGATTTTTTATTGAAGCCCCTAATATTCCATACAATCAACAAAGGTCACCTAGTAGATGGATTCCCATCACTAGAGCATCAAACCCTTTCCTATTTGTTCCAAGGTGACTCATCCCAGTTGAGCCAATATCTTCATCATGAAGGGGGGCTTACCTCTGCTTTTTGAGCGAACCACTATCCATTTCTGATTATCTGCCTCTGGGGCCTGATTATGATTTTGTACAGTTTCCTTGCACTTCGGCTTATGTATTTTAGGTTCTTTGGCTTGTGGTTGTTGTGATTTCTGAGGCCAAACTTTCTTCACTTGTCCAGTGGCATTTCTCTTCTCACAATCATGCCCTGCTTTGCTGCAAATTTTACAGTACATGGGCTTCCATTCATAATCAACTTTCTGAATCAGTTTCTTCCCATCAGGTTCTCTAATCGTGATAATATCCTTCAACTCCACTGTGATATCAACTTCTATTAAAACAAGCGCATAAGTGACCCTCAATTTCTTGGCAGTGCATTCATCTGTCATCAAGGGTTTACTTATTGCGCTCGCTATTTTTCCTATGCTCTGTTCACCCCAGAAGATGAGAGGGAGTTGAGGAAAATTCACCCAAATAGGAACCACCCGCATGACATCCTCCTTTAGAGAGAATTTAGGGCTCCATTCTTGTAAGAACATAGGCTTACGGTAGATGGTGTAAGGCCCTCTTTTCAACACAGTATCTTTGTCTTCCTTTGATTGAAACCTAATAATGAAGTATCCATCTTCATTATAATACAAATCAGGAAGCGCAACAAAATTCCATGTTCTCATCATGAAATTTTTGACTCCATTCATAGTCAGCTCACCGCCCAGAATGTACATAATCAAGACATTAACCCAGTATTTTATCTGCACAATCACATCTGCCTTTTCAATGACAACCTCAATTTCACCATTGACAACCTTAGGTGTTGTATATTCCAGGCCAAGCCCATTGTCTAGCAACCTGTTTCCACGAATTACATCAACCAAAGCAGTATCTCTAACAACTTCTACCACGACTTCTTTCCCAAATCTTTCCTTCGTAATGGACTCAAGATTCTGTTCAGTAAGTTATGGGGTTGACCCTCTTTTGAGCACACCTGTTACATTGACTTGATTAGGCGTCTCCTCCGCTTTTTTTCCTGATAGGGGTGTGAAGACCCTCAGCCCCGCAGGGGGGTCACAACCACCTGTTTCTTCGGCCGGCCACGCCCTTTACGCATTATTGCCTTCTCCTTCGAGCCCTTAAACCATGGGTTTCACCCTAGCTTAGGCAAGGTCCCTAATCCTAAAACCAGGAATTTAAACTGAAACCTGAGTAGAGTGAACCCTAGTTTTCCTCACCGGAGAAGATAATGAACTCACCGGAACTCGCTATGCTAGCTACCAGAAATCGCCCTTCACATAAATTTTTGGTGATTTTTAAAAGTCAGAAACTATTTTTAAACTAATTAAAATTTCTCAAATAAGTGGTAAAAAAGATCAAAAATAGTAGAAGTCAAAATAAAATTCTAAAAAAATTTCAGAAGGTTAGAAATAATGGAAATGATGTTGATGAATTTTTTCAAAATTTAAAAATGCTCAAAATTATTTTTTTAAATAATTAAAAACAAACCAAAACAAAAAAAATTATAAAAAAATACCAAATCTAAAAATAAAATTATGAAAAATTAAAATTCGGAAAGAGAATATTTGAAAATATTTTTGTGAATTTTTTCATAATCTTTGAATCAGAAATGAATTTTCTATGAATTTTGGAAGTTTAAGACAAGCAAAATATAAAAATAAAAAATAAAAAATAAAGTCAAAAAAATGTGGACCAATGGATGAGAGTCAAAACGCGTTAGTAAGCTAATCCAATGGATCATACGCGTTGTGCATATCATGGTCTTTAGTGAATAAAGCATGGAATCATTAATTAAATCAGATTTTTTTTAAAAAGCGTGGCATGCTTTCATTGGTTGATAGATGACACGTTGGTCATCTTTAACCTCCAGCCACGAGATTTGCAAGTCCATGAAACTGTAAAATTAGAATATGAGACTAGTGTCATTCACTTCGTCTCTTCAAGACGATTCCAATGGTACCCTCGCGAAAAATTTATATAAGTTGTAACTTAGTCATTTTGGAAGAGAAGTTTTGAAAAGGGATTTTAAATTTCATGTCCAAAACGTACTTCTAGTTAAAAATAAGTGTTGCGACTATAATCAGGATGATGAGAACTTCATAACATATCAAAGTTTCAGAGAATTGGTGAAGGAATCTACCTATTAAAGTTAAGTTGAAGAGCTCTGAAACTTAACTTGGCTAGCACGATTTAGGGAGGCTTAGAGCTTAATTCTTCTTCTGTTAGCTTCAATGAGTTTCAAGGAAGGTGAATTGACAAAGAAAATGGATTGATAAAGGCTGTAAGAGCAAATTTGAAATTATAGAAAATTGAGTTCAAGAGGAAGTTTGGAAGGGTGATTCTGGCTCTCTAAGCTTGAGAAAATGAATTATGTATGATCCTCTATTTATAGGGAAGCTGATTGAATGCTCAAGCGTTTGGAATGATGGAATTTTGAGGGAAATCGTGTGAAGTTGCAAACAAGAAAAGTGTGACTTCTATTTTGATCAAAACTCATCTAAACCTTGTGTTTCAATGTGATAATCACTTCAGGAAGTTAATTAAACATGATTAGAAGCAAAAGTGTGCAAAATACTTGTGTTTAGAAGCCAAATTAAGGATTTCAAATTCTGACTTGAGTTGAAACTTCAGTTTCAAGGTTCCACTTTTGAACCAATGGCATTCTCAGCTCAAGGAGTCTTAAGACACGATTCTTGAAGCTTTAGAAAGATGAGATCACAAGATTTATATTGTGCAAAGAATGTAATCAAATGGGTGCCTAAGCTGAAAGTTGCAATGAGTCAATGTTGAGAACAAGAGGTTGACTTTCTATACTTAGAAAATTTCTAAGTTTTTCTTCAAAAATGACCTATAATGTCTTGCATCCAAACATGGTCTTCCATTTGAAATTTTTTCTTGACCAAAAAAGATGGAATGAAGTAGATCTCTTGAATGGAATTTTTGGACTTCAACCATTCAAAATCTCAAAAAAATTGAGAAATTTATGACTTGTTGAAGTTGGAAAAAATTCATAAGATGACCTATAATATTTTACATCCTTAGGGCATCTTCTATCCATTTTCACACTTTGCACTTAAAATAAGGGATGAAATTCACATTCTTAAAATCAATGTAGAAAAATAATGGGCTCAAGGAGATAATAATTGACCAAGTTATGGTTCTTTGAAGCCACATAAGGGAAATTGATGGTTCATCTAGAGGACTTGTAATCTTTCTTCATCATCAAGTATCTTTCACACAAAATTTCCTTGAAACTTTTGAAATGATTTGTTTATAAACCTTTGAAGAGAATAATGTATTTGGAATCACTCAAAAATACCAAAATATGAGCAATATATACCCCTTTGAAGTTCAAAACCCTAGCTCCTAGAGCAACAAAATGCCTTGAGAACTCTTTTCAATTTTGAACAACCATCTTGCACAAATATTTTTGTCATGTAAAAAGAAGTTATTGAGGATTATAATGAGGAAAAATAACAACCATAACCACTTCCAAATATTGGGAATTAAGGAAAATATGTACTTGGGATCAAGAAGTCAAGAGTTTATCCAACTAGGTCAAACTTCTTCAATCAAACCTTGTATATTTTGACTATCTTTGACAACTTGAGGCATTATGAATCATAATAGAATTTTTCATGATATTAATTCAAAACATATTCAATGATGAGGCTTGAATCTCAATGAAGATTTTGTTGAAGAAGGCATGGAAATAGACTCATGAACTTGTAGATCAACTTGATGGAAAGTGTTGTGCTCTCACATATAACATCATCAATCAGGTCAAATATTCATTGTATTTATTAGCTAGAAGTTAATCAAAACCAAAAATAGATGATCACAAAAATACAAGTCAAGGTGCTTGGTGATTCCCCATGAGCAAAGCCAAGGATAAGGAGAGGAACCAAACCCTAGTGTGTGATCTTGTTGCATTGTGATGGTATGAAATGATAGAGGAATCTTAGGGGGGGAAATTAGGGTACAACAATAACTCATATCAAAATAATAATCTTTTAACAACTCAATATATCTTCTCTTCCTTATATATAATTCCTTCTGATCAAACAAGTACTCCAAACACTTATGATCATTGGACACCTTGAATATGGATCCGAACAAATAATGTCTCAAAAACTAAAACATATATACCATAGCCTCAACCTCTAAGTCATGCATAGGATAATCCCTTTCATGAACCTTCAGTTGTTTAGACACTTAAGCAACAACTTGACCATTCTTCATCACCACACCACCAAGACCCATCTTCGACACATCACAATATACCATAAAAGATTCACTAGGATTAGGAAAAACCAATACTGGAGCATTCGTCAACTTATTTTTTAGTTCCACAAAGCTTTCTTCACACGCAATATCCCATATATAAGCTTTACCCTTTCGAGTCAAATGAGTCAAAGGTAATGTCAACTTAGAAAAGCCTTCAATGAACCTGCAATAATAACCTGCTAAACCAAGAAAACTTTGTATCTTAGTAGCAGACTTTAGAGTCTCCCACTGTAACACAACATCAACCTTAGAAGGATCCACATAAATTCCACCACTTGAAATTACATGGCCAAGGAAACTCACTTCCTTCAACCAGAACTCACACTTTGACAATTTTGCATACAACTTCTTCTCTTTCAACACTTATAACACAATTCACAAATGCTCAACATGCTCTTCTTCTAATTTAGAATATATCAGAACATCATCAATGAAGACTACTACAAACTTATCCAGATACGAATAGAAAGTTTGATTCATATACTCCA